AAATATTCATTAGTCAGTTAATTTAATAAGTTATGACAATAAAATAATAATGTGTTGCTCATTATAACTTATTTTTTCTAACAACATCTATATGTTTTATATTACATAATATGAGAGCAAATATAGTGCTGCCCAAAGGCAAGCGGATCATGCATTGTTGTCTTAAATAAGCTGGTTCATTAGCTCTACAGAGCTAAAATCTTTGTGTATAATTGTTTAAGGATAAAGGACTATTTTAAGTTATATAAAGCAATACTTATATATGTTGATGAATTAAAAAAAAAGCAAGTGATGATGACGTTAACATTTATTTAACAAATCAAAATAAATTTAATTGATAATATGTGAGTTCTTGCTACTCAAAATGAGCGCAGCACTATATGACTCTATCCCCACTTGCATTCTAGTATAGGGCTTATAGATAATGATGAATTTACTTTGTAATTAATGTTAGAGCTGGAGCCCGATCCGCCCCTCGATTTCCTGCTCTCACTCGCATCGCGACCCCAACCCCTCTTCTGCTCCCGATAGTGAAACGCCGCGATCCCCTGCTGTTGCAAAACCGCTCCCACCTCCCGCTTGATCGCGAAAGGTTGTGATACCTGTTCCCGCTCCACTGTGGCAAAAGGTCACGATATTCGCGAAACGACACCGCCTCCCGTTTCCTTTAAGTTGCTAACAGAAGAAGAGACAGTTCCGCTTCAGATTAAGTGAAGTCACGATTTTGAGCTCTTCTTCGGGCTTCCTCGAGGTAGAGGAAGAGTTCTTCAGGTTTTCTCGGGATAGAGGAAGAGAAGTGTAAGGTGTAGTTCTTTGCGGTGAAGGAAGAAGAAAGAAGAAAGAAGAAAGATTGTTCTCCCTTGGCTTCTTCTTGGTGGATTGTGACAGAAGAGAAATTAGTTTTATTTCTCTTGTAAGTTTATCTTCTTCGGTGTATCTCGGTGTAGAGTTTCTTCTGTGTATCTCGGTGTAGAGAGGTAGAGAGAGAAGGAGAAGAAAAAAGAGAGAAGAAGAAAGAGCAACGAAGCGAGAGATTTCTCATGTAAGTTGAGATGATCGATTGGTGTAAATTCCTCAAGTAGTAAAATCCTCTGCAACTCCGTGGACGTAAGCAATTTGCTGAACCACGTAGATCTGTGTATTCTTTTATGGTGTGATTTTTCTCGTTATATTTTTTTTCGCTTCTTCGATCGTTCTTCTGTTTGATTTATATATATACTACATCAACTAATGTATATCTCACAACAATTGGTATCAGAGTTTTGTTCGGATCTGAGGAAGAATGATGACTGCAGATGAAGTGAATGTTTCATGGATCAAAAATTTGATGGCACAGATTTTGATTATTCGAGGATTCATGTTTAAAGAAAAAGAGCGACACTGCTAGTGAAGGATATTAGTTTGAGGAAGGAGATGTTGATGCCTGTGTATCAGTCTCCAAGTGAGAGATCGTTAGAGCTGGAACCTAATCTGCCTCCTGATTTCCCGCTCCCACTCGCGTTGCGACCCCAACCCTGCTTTCGCTCCCGATCGTGAAACATAGCGATCCCCTGCTGTCGCGAAACTGCTCCTGCCTCCCACCCAATCGCGAAAGGTCGCGATACCTGTTACTGCTCCACTGTCACGAAAGGTCTCGATATTCGCGAAACGACGCCGCCTCCCGCTTCCTTTAAGTTGCGATTAAAAGAGATGGTTCCCCTTCAAATTAAGCGAAGTGACGATTTTGAGTTCTTCGTCGGGCTTCCTCGGGATAGAGGAATAGTTCTTCAGGTTTCCTTGGGATAGTGGATGAGAAGTGCAAGGTGTAGTTCTTTGCGGTGAATGAAGAAGAAGAAGATTGTTCTCCCTTGACTTCTTCTTGGTGGCTTGTGGCAGAACAAAAATTAATTTTATTTCTCTTGTAAGTTTATCTTCTTTGGTGTATCTCGGTGTAGAGTTTCTTCAGTGTATCTCGGTGTAGAAAGAGAAGAAAAGAGAGAGAAGAAGTGAGAGATCTCTCTTGTAATTCAAAACGATCTACTGGTGTGAGCTCTTCAAGTAGTAAAATCCTCTGTAACTTCGTGAACATAAAATCCTCTTCAACTCTGTGGCCGTATACAATTTACCGAACCGTGTAAATCTATGTGTTCTTTTCTACTGTGATTTTTCTCGCTCTATTTTATTCGCTTCGTCGATCGTTCTCCTATTTAATTTATATATATACCATATAAATTGGTGTATATCTCACAACAATTGCTTCCTTGAATTGCTCAAGTTTTCATGGTTATTTGGCTATAAAAAGGAACTTTTCTCATTCTTTTGTTTTCAAAGTAAATGAGATCTAGTTTAATGTGCATTCCTATGTCTGTGATAATATTAGCCATTTGGAGTTAAAATTTTTTGTATGCTTTCAATTTGATTTCAAAGAAAGTACCTTTGAAAGTTAAATCTAATTATATGTCATTCTACATAAAATGTGTATATTTAGATTTATTTTATAATATAATAGTTCCATGAGTTCTTCATAAAATATTAAGTATTCAATTTTAGTGCCTAACAATTGATGTTTATTTTATATTTTTTAATTTTTTATTCAATTTCAAAAACACTAACCTTTTAAATTCTTCTATTACAATTGATGTTGTACATATAATTTTTTCATTATTATAGCTATTACACTTGCAATATGTCATATCAATCTTAAAATTTATTGCATCTTTGGTGTTGTTAAATACACTCTCATGCATCAATTTGATGATCACTTGTGTTATTTTTTATTATGTCAATATTATAATCTAATATATTGTTGTTTTTATTATACTATGCTAATTCTAACTTAAATTCTACTACATCATAATTTCTTAAACTCAAATTCTACTAGATTATAATTTATTTAAATCATATTTAAATTTTGTTTGATCCCCGTCGAAACACAGAACAATCCTTATTCAAATCTTGCTCTGGCAACGGTCAGAATTATGTTCAAATCTTGTTTGAACCTTGATCAAATTGAGTTCAAATCATATATGAACTATGCTCAAACATTTTGTACTTCAATCATATTTGAACATTGCTCAAGTAGTATATTATTTCAATTGGACTTTATTCTAACTTTCCTCCTAGCATTATTTGAATTGTACTTCATGCAATATCATATTTTTTTTATTATATTGCTTATTTACTTGAGCTGTTATGGCCAAATATACAAATACATTCCCACCATTAAACTTAATGTTATTAATCTGGGCTCATATCTACTCAAAATGTCTTGGCACTAACACAATTAATTTGAACCCAATTGATTATTAAACAGAACCAAAATTCAATTAAAGCTCTCCTCAACTAAATCCAACGTAGTGTCGCCAAAAAAAACTCGTTGTTTGCGAATAACTCGTGTTCAGCTCGTTAAATTGCTTTTGTTCGATTCGTTCCTTAAGCAAATAAGTCAAATACGAACAAAACTTTTGAGCTAGATTTATAATCTAGTCAAACACGAATAAAAGTTTATTTGTTCGTGTTCCGCTGGATTTGGCTCGAATTAATTAAATAATAAATAAATAATATTTATATATTCTATTTTTTTAAATTCTAAATTTTAAATAATTTTAGCTAAGATTATAAATTAAAATAAAATTTTTTAAATTGGATACGTAAATAATTAGATGAGAGGTATAAAAATTCTAAAAAATTTCTCTCTAAAACCACTCTCCCCATCTGAGCGTCCATAAAAACAAAAGCACGCGCACGCACGCCCGCGCGCCCGCGCACACACACACATATATATATATATATGCCACCAACAAATTTTCATCATCCATTACGAATCTCGAGGCAACTTTTTAAGTAAGAAATATTTAAAATTCAACTAAGAGTCATCCAGAACTCCAATTTTAGTAAACTTATATTCAGACTGACAGGCTCGATGAGACGAACCCAATAATATAAAAACTTGTACAATCCGAGTCAGATCAAACCCAGATCAAATCATTAAACCACTTTTGGAGTATTTCCGGGCACATTTGGAAGGTCAAACAAATGTCGAATCTTGTTATTTCATAGTTGAATCGAGCTTATCGACAAGACAAATCGAACGAGACCAAGATTGCTCAATTCTGACATCGTTAAGACACTCAAATGTCCATTAAATGTCATCTGATCGAGGAAAACTCGCTGGACCGTCCGATCAAAATCTTTCATATATCTGCATTAATTGCACCCAAAATATTATAAATAGAGTCTCTCCCCTCTCATGTGAGGGGGTGAAAGACTGGAGAGAGAACTTGAGGTTTTGAGAAGGAGCTTAAGTCCCACATTATCCTTGCAATCGTTGATCGCTGTCAGCCACCGTCGACCTCCACCGACCGTTGGTGACCACCGCCGACCTCCGTTAACCATTGCCGCCCTCCATCGATCACCGCTGGTTACCGCCGACCGTCGTCGACTACCGCCAACTGTCGTCAATCACCACCAACCAGACGCCGAGAGTCAACGTTGTAATCTGAAAAATATAGTTACCATTTTCCTTCAATGGGAGAAGAGATTTCTGTAATCATTAAACAATAGTGGATTTTCACAACTAGGTCAGTCCCCGTGGTTTTTCTGTTTCCGGGTTTTCCACGTAAAAAATTCTGGAATTGTCTTTCCTTGTTTCTCTTTCATCTGTGTGTTAAATTCTCGTACAACACTAAGACGATAATCCGTTACTCTATCACCGTGAATATTCTAGCATGCATCATACATAATAATAATAATAATAATAATAATAAATACATAAGAGTTGTGTGGAGAATTTGATAAACACGTAATTATAAACACGGTACAATCTAATTTTGACCAAAATGTTTTCTTATTCAAATATATATATACATACATATAGGCATAAGAGTTTTGGGGTAAACAGTAAATGCCGACTGAGAATTTGATAAAAATGTAAATCTAAATACGGCCGTAGCTTGATTAAAACCCTAAATGCAATCTAATTTTGACCAAAATGTTTTTTTATTCAGTAACCACCTAATTAAACCCATCCCTCCTGTTTTTTTCTCCTTTAAAATCCTGAAAGCCTCCTTCTCCGCCGCCACGCAGGCGAATCTTCGATCTCGCTTATTTCGCTTGTGCGTGGCCACCGTGTTCTACAGATGGAGAAAGAGAGCACGAGCATAAGCTACGTATACGAAACCCTCGATCCCTTGGGCTTTTCGTCAGGCGAACACGATACCGTTGCCTCGGGATCATACGCCGTTTTCCGGAGCGAAATAACTACCTCCGCTGACCTAGTTGTCGACATTCCAGTCTCCGATTACTTCTCCCTTGACGTCCCCGTGGTTTCAACTCTAGCGGAGGCGCTTCCCTTCCCATCAGTTTCTACCGCTGTGACTCCATGTCCGCCGGAGGAGGCTCGTGCGGTTACCGCTGAATCGACATGGTTCCGAGCTGGGTGCCGGTTTAGGAGTCCCATGCTTCACAAGGGTAAGATCTCGCTTTACCCCAATGGCTAATTTGGTTTCTTATGAATTAAAAGCATGTTTGGTGATTTTAGGTTCTTTTGGGGCAGCTTTTGCTTTTTTGTTTTAGCCTTTTAAAAGAGCGATTTCCAATCACAGTTTCAAATATTTTCTCCGAAAAAAATGATTTTAATGGAGATTTACGTGTATACCACACATTTTTTTATTTATTTGCATGTTTAACATGTAAATTTTGATATTCACATATAACATTTTAGTATCATATTCACATGTCACTGTACTGCACTTTAAACAATAATATTAGTGATATTTTTAATATAATATTAGAGATTTAAGTGTTATATAAGTATTACAAATTTAATTATTTACATACATACATACATTTTTTTTTTGAAAAAGCCAAGGGCTAATATATTAAACAAGAAAGATACAAATAAGTTGTATGAGTGGGCCTAAAAGAAGGCACACAACCTACACAATACAACACACATAAAATCCCAAAAAAGAAATAGAAGATACATTTATGATAAAAAAAATAAAAAATCATCAACGCGCGCAAAAAGTTAGGAACGACTCAGTTTAGCCCTGCCTCTGTCTCGAGTTCTCGAAATGGAGTCGACTAACAAATTGATGAGGTACGTACCATTACCCGAAGTAACCAAAGTATCATCCATCAGATTCCTGAGCTCAAGTAGATCTTCATTCTTCTTATTCCTTCTGGATGTGTAAACCTATCATTTTTCATCCGAGGATTGACTAATCATATCAGTGGATGACCGGACATGTGTAGGATGTCACACATCATGAACCCATGTGTCTGAGAAACATTAACATCTTGCTCGACCTGATGAGACGGTAGAGAAGCAGTAACATGCTCCAAACCAACAACTAGAGTAGAGTGTTCAAAAGCAGAAGCATCCAGGGGTAGAACGACTTGGGTATGGGGTTTTTTATCTGAGACAACCAAGGTTTGAATAGAAGGATCATCAGAAATTTTCCTATCAGGAAAAAAGTCAAGCAGATGAGTATGTACAATATTGGAAATAGGGTCGGGTTGCACCTCCTCAACAGAGATGGTAGGTGGCAAGACTTCCACCCCCAATTCAACATGAATAAATTTTTGAAAAGGTTGCTGAACTTCAGCATTATCTGGTCTTAAGTAAGGATGAAAAGATTGAGTGTTATCTCTCTCAATTAACACACAATGAGAGCAATATAAAGGGTGTGATTTTATTTCAACATTTTTCCAATACCTAACATGATTGGATCCAATTCATACCTCATCCGGAGCTGGTTGAGTGATATCTCTCTCAACTAACACATAAGTCACAGAGGGTCTGATGACAACAAACGTAAGACTATTAGATTTGAGAGGCTTACAGTAAGCAATTACTAAAGATTAGAGAATTTTCAAATTGAGCAGATGAAATTTTAACCCCGAAAATTTTATCCACACAGGAATGATGGAGGACTCCACTTTTGGATCAAAGTCGACAGTACACTTCAGGATTTTCATAAAACAATTGTCAATCCTGATTACATTTCTAGAAAAAATACTAATGTAATCCGCATCGTGAGATAACTGAATAAGTATATGTCGGTCGTTAAGTAAGTCAATATTCCAACTACTTGATAGCTTCATAGCATCAAAATCTTTCTGAATGATCTCAAGTTTAGAGTGAACATAAATGAATTTCTTTACTAGAGCAAAACACCAAGAGACGCTAGAGTACTGGTTTCAATCTTAAAGAGAAAAAGAGCAGGTTTCTTATTTTTTTTACCAAGCTTTTTAATGAAAGTGTAATAACCACCACCTTCAAGAGCCTCGCGGAAGGATTGTTTAACAATGCAGTACTTATCGATACCAAAGTCAGGCTCTGAACCTGAAATATGGGCACGAGTAGGATTTGGATTGTCGTCGGCAAGGACAGTGACATAGGAACGGAGCGTCGAGACCATCACCACCCGACAAGATGACCACGGTCTAGAGCGGTGCGGCGAGCCGCGTCAATCTGCGACCCGAGGAAGGAGACGACATGCGAGGAGAAACGACGTAACCAAACCTCGTATCAAGAACGAAAGACGATGCGTCAAACTGAGACCAGACGACGTCGTGCGAGTTGCCGACAAAACTGCGAGACGATGACGACGCGTCAAACAGGGAAGTCGACATCGTGCAAGCTGTCTGCAAACGCCGACGAGGCAATCAGAAAAGGAGAAAGCTGGGTGCAAATCTAGTAAAGGCTGTCTTACAACCTACCTAGTAATGCACTATATGATCACAATTTGAACAATACACCTTTTGTCACTATAAGATCACAATTCCTAGTAGTAATACCTACAACCTGCCTAGTAATCCACAAGAGAAAAGTACTTTTATCAATATTGAATTTCACTTAACTAATTGATTTAGACAAGTTTAACTTAGGCATATAAACATAACTTAGGATTAGTTATTAGAAAAAGTAGACTAGAACATCGCCCTAGGAATTATCTACCTCCCCTTCCCTGTGGGATCAACATTTCGGACTCAATAGAGCCCCATATTATTGTAACAATACACATACTTGCGTGAAAAACCCCAGTGAACCATAATACCTAATTTTAAGAACTCAATCAATTTGTTAGGTATTAGATCGAGTTTATGGTTCCTTTACCAAGACTTATATAAATTGTGATAATAGCTGGGGCGGATCATTAGCCAAAGTGAAATTTAGTCTTTTATTATTAATATTAGTATTATTATTATTATTATTGGCTATAAATAGGCTTATTATATTTAAGGTTAGGTTTATGCAGGAGATTATTGTTATGAGTCTTAGGTTTAGAGTTTTGAAGAGATTTCCTACCTCTCGAATTGCAGAAATTAAGAGAGATTGCCTACCTTTAAGTTATAGGTGTTTATCCTTATATTCATGTTGTATCACTTTGGTTTGGTGTTGATGAAATAAAATATTCGTTATGTCCTAATTTTTTTGTGAAAAAAATTATGTTGGATCGTATCATATTAATATCAAAGCATCGATTTGATAAAAAATGGAAACAAATTGGCTCACAGAGGATCGATCGTGCTAGCAGAGAAAAGACGACGGGATCGCAGTTTACAGAGATCCAAAACTCCTTTTTGTCGCGGAAGGGAACGACGCACTCCGGCTCAAGTAGATGGTCAAACAATCACGATTGAAGCTAGTTGCCTGTCGCCTTTGTGAGCAAACCCTGTGATGTAGTCTTGATCAGAGCTTGCTGGGATAGCAACGACGGGATCATAATTGTGATTGGTGCTAGATGCATGTCGCTTTCATGATTGAACCCTATGATACAATTGCGACTAGAAGGTCACGACGGGGTCTTGGTCGTATATAACCTTGACCGAAGCCTTGTGATACGATCTTGGTTTGAGTTATCTGTGGAAATGACGGGATTGCAACATTCAGGCGCAGTGCAGGAGCGATGATTTCGACATGCAGTGATTGAACTGGTGACCGGAAATCATTGTCGTAACTTAAGGCGATACAGTTAGACAAAGACTTGAAACTCGATCTTCCTTTTCAATCGAGCGATACAGTTGAGCTTAGGGCTCGTTGGGAAGGCGATAACGGGATCGCGGAGTGTGATCGAACAGCAGGAAGCGTTGACGAGATCACGACTTCCAATCCTTGGTATCTAATGGATCAGGCGCACTTTTTTCCTCCCTCCATTGCGTTCAAACAATACAGGCACAATCAGAGCTTGCTGAAAAGGTAACATAGCGACGTACATGAGTTTCGCGCTGTCCTGATCGAAAATAGCAATCCGGATCGCGAAATAAAGAGGTTCTGCGTTGAACCTGCATACGAGATATTGGATCACATTGTTTGGAGATCCGCACGGCTTCCAATCTCCAAATCACGTACAAGAATTCAGGGATCATGACATTAGAGTCCTGTGCACGTCGAAATCATGTAGAGAAATTATGAAGCTTACTATTTTAACATAAAGTAGTTATGAAACCGTACAGAGAGTAATAATGACCAAGAAAATATATGATTTGAAGAAGAAATCAGAGAAAAAAATGAGTCAACTTAAATATGGGATGGAAGAAAGGTTAGTCACCATAGAGGATAGGTTTTGTTATATGAAAATCCAATGGAGGGTCGTCTTGCAAGGTTTTCTTCCATGGAGAACCAAATGGAGGATCGATTTGATAGCTTTGAGGAGATGATAAAGAATTCATTGAGATGCAATCCAAGGCCCCGATGGCTGCTCAAATTGTAAACCTAAATCAAATTTGACTTGAGAATCTGAGGCCATATCAAAAGGGAGGAGATCAAACATGAGGATTATGAAGAAAATATCCATCATCTCGAATTTCCCTCTAGGACTCTAATAGGGAATGGATTAGAGATTTCTGATGGAGGATGTTGGGCCTAAACATGAAGGGAGGGTTATGCAAGGGGTTAGGAGGAGCATGGAGATGGAAGGAGAGAAATCAGAATGGGGTATGCTATGGTTGAAGAAGGGAATTTAACCTTACATACATTGGTGGAATCACTGGAGGGAGAGGAAGTTGAGTTGATATTGCTAGGGTTTGGAAGTTGAAGATGCTAATCTTCGAGGGGGAAGACACATATAGGTTGGTATATCAGAACTTCGCAGTGAATGAGCCAATTGAGGAAAAACTCATGGCAACAGGGTTATGTTTGGAGGGGAAAACCTTAACATAGATTCAATGGAGGGAGGCTAGATACTCGATCCGTTTGTGGAAAAAATTTAATGATTGTTTGTTGGAATTTTTCCAGTCATTTGAGAAGGAAACTTACACAAACAATTCTATATCTTGAATCAGGAAGGGACTTGTATGAATTATATGGAGAAATTTGAGCTATTATTTGGATGGTTGAGGGGGATTTCTAAAATAGGCTTGGAGGAGAAATTCATGAAGGGCTTAAAGCCCGACATATCGACAACACTTCGATTATTGAGACCACGGGGATTGAGGAGGACGATAGAGCTAGCCCGAATGGT